TGTTCACATTTTCTCATCTATTACCTTTCCTCCTGAGCCTGGATAGAATTTAAAGCAGGATTTCTTCAATCTTCTCCAGAAGGGATAATATAATCAGTTATAGGAGACTGTTCACATACTTCTAGATTGTCGGGAGGTTCCAAATATTGATTAGCGTATTTTAAATTAGATTTTTTTTGCGTTTTAAAAGCAAACGTTAAATTCAAATCTTAGTTTTAAAGAACAAAAAAGCTTTAACTTCTTTTATATAACAAAAAATTGCTTTTATTATACGTGGATATATATCAAAACTAGCAGAGCTATAAGGTTACAAAGTCGTAGCAGATAGGAGATGGCACACACGAATATAACTTATTGATTATGATTAATAATTAATTATACCAAGCTTAGTAATATTACATGCAAGTACCAATTTCTTTAAAACGAAAAATTAAAAAACAGAAGTTTAAAAATCCGCGAAACTAAGTTCGTTATCCGCATGTAAACTGTGATTTTCTGTTCTCAATATCTTTGCAACCCAATGTCGTAAACCTCAGATATTTCGATCTCATGAATTAATTTGGATCAGCTAATCTAAATTTAAAATATCAAACACCTTCAGCTTGCAAAGATATAGGGATTATAAAATATTAGTTTGTGGCAAATTCTCATTCCTTTCTTTGAAACAATAAATTGATTTTGTTGTTTTACAGTTGGTACCCTTCTACATTACCCGAATTCGTTAACACTCCCATTGAGCTGCTACCAGCTAACATAGATAGAAAGATAGGAAAGGAGTCATATTTGACTTTTTCTAAACCGGGGATTTTTTATCCTTACCTAGTGTAGTAAACACCTACTCCATAACAAGTTCTCGAAACGTATCTATCCAGGTACAACCCGTCCGCTATCAAAGTCAACCAGGACACAACCCACCTGGCTGCACATAGGGACACAAGCGTAGCTATCTAAATCCAGCTACTAATCCAGTCCTCTAAATAGCACACAGGAACACAAGCGTAGCTATCTAAATCCAGCTACTAATCCAGTCCTCTAAATGGCACACAGAGACACAAGCATAGCTATCAAACCAGCTACTAATCCAGTGCTCTAAATGCCACACAGGGACACAAGCCTAGCTATCAATAAGCTATATATTGATACCAAATTAACTGGGACGATCCTACCGGTTTATAAAAACAGAGTTTCAGGCTTCCTCTCAAACAGTAAACAGATCCTACCTGTTTATAAAAACAGGGTTTCAAGTTTACTCTCGTCTGAGAAAATACAAAATTAAACCGGTTTAATAAACCTAAATCTGTGGAAAATAAGTCTTAAAGGAATTGAGTTGTTGCCACATACTCCAATCTTCTAAACCCTATATCGGTGCAACCCAGTGTCGTAGACCTTTGATATTTCAAACTATTAATTCTGTGTGAAATACCAATGGTTTACACTATTAGGTTGCGAAGATATAGATATTAGAAAATTCGATTTTGTGGCAAAAACTCAATTGTTTTGTCTCAATGACCGCTTAGTCTGTGTAATATAATCTCCAATTTATTAAATCGTGGGCCGGCTCAGACTATAAAGGTGACAGTTTTCATATATTTCATTGAAAATTATAACTATATGATAATAACCATTATTTGAAACATATCAATAAAATTTCATGTTGTTTATACAATAGTTAATGTTTGATTTCCTAAATAAGTGGAGTTTGCATATTATTAACCAGGTTATTATATATATATTTCCTGGTTTTCTTGTAATTTCCTGGAATCCAGGCTCGGACTGGAAACATGAAAATATATCTCGAATGATGATTATAAAAGGCGCTTTATAGCCCTAATGTTCTAACTTAGAATTAGTGTTAAAACATAAATTCTGTTGTAGTACACACAAGAAAAACAAGGAGTTCAAAGAAACCTGGGAATAAAGTTAAAGGGACATGTAAGGGTAATTTCAAGCGACTCTCTATGCAAAGAGGGCTACGCCTGATTCACAACGGTACCCTTAAAAGCTTTGTCTTGTCGAGTATGAATTAGACATTGATGTTTATATTGTTGTTAACTGATTATTTTCATTGGTCGTTTCTCTATAAAAGTGACAAATATATGGGAATGATCTGAGACCGAATTTAGAGAATTTGAGCCGCGGCTTAAATTTGTGATGCAGCTCAAATATGGTTGGTTAAAATTGTTATTAATGTTTCAAGATTAAAGCCGAAACTCAATTGAAACCGGGTTTTTTTTTCGTTTAAATTATGAAATTGACTTTTTGAATTTTTGCGGATTTTCGTGGATTTTCTCATATTAATTTTTGTTTGTGATAAAACTGCAAATAATTTATTTTTGTAATTATTTTGATTTAATGAGCCGAACTCTGCGGCTAGGAGGGCTATGCACAGAACTGTGACACTCCCCAGTTTTAATCTTTGTGACAGAAACAATTTCAAGAACTGACGAGGGTCAACCAAGACCGAAATATATTTTCAATAAATGTGGAACTAACATCTACTTTTTTTTTACTCTATAGAGGTTTGGTCCATCACCAATTTGATCAAATAAACATATTATTTTTGCTTTTTCTCTTATATTAGTGTTTTCGGCAAATGCGTTTTAAATAAAAAATTATGAATAGGCAACTCCGAAAGTTTAAAGATTGTTAGATTATAAATCAACACAAAATCAAACTAAAGGACGACATTTCATTCTTTTTCATGTTTGATGAAACACACTGTATTAAGAATTGGCTTCCTGGGATTTGTCTGAAAGAAAGACACATATCTGTTTTTATTTTGATCCTGAATATTTGTTAGTGTTGATGAACCTGAAATATAATTAGGCTTATATATATATATATATATTTATCCATGTATAACAATCTCAGCTAGAGATCCATACTCTCTTGTTCTGGCATACTGGTCTATATTTATGTATTTATATATTTATATATATTTAGAATATTTATTGAGTTATGCAAGCAATAATAATATATATTATAATATATAACAAATATATGTACTTCTTATATATGATAATTTTAGATTTTTCATCTTTAAATTTATGTAATATATATTTAGTACTTATCAGATATTTTTATATTCATATGTATAGCTATAGCTCGCCAAACGGCCGGCTGGACCAAATAAGCTGCTTTTTAGGGTACCGTGGGAGTAACATTGGTTGAAAAAAATTAAAAATTTATTTTTTTAAATTAAAAGTTGTTGTTAAAACCTTTTTTTTAATTTCATTAGCAAAACCAGGTACTTTAGCTACTAGCTATAGTATCAAATAAGTTTAGATTCTACAATCAATATTTCTCATGCTTGTGCATTAAATTAAATCAAATTGGTTTTCAAGTCAGTTAGCTTTAACTTTGGACCCCATTTTCACCCTGTAAATGGAACTTTTTGTATTTGATATTTTTTACTTTGTGTTTTTTCTAACATTTCAAATAAAAAAGTACAATAAAGCGGTTTACGCTGGTTTAACAGATTATGAATTAGAGAGAAAAATTAAGACTGGAAAGGAATTTAGTCCTTGCAACAAATTCCGATTTTCTTATCCCTATATATTTGCAACCTTGTGGTATAAACCTTTTATATTTCAAACTTAGATTATTATATCTAACAGAATTCATAGCTTGAAATATTTAAGGTCTATGACATTGGGTTGCAAAGATATAGGGATTAGAAAATCAGAGTTTGTAGCAAAGACTCAATTCCTTTGTAGAAACAGAGGAATGTTCTTTGTTGAAGTTATTTTACGTGTTCTCCTCTGTCTACTGTTTGCAGTGTACTGTGTATTAAAGAAAACAATTACTCTCCACGTACTCTAATTTTCTAATTTATGCTTGAACTGTCAAATTTTGTTACATCACATAGTCAAAGTTTGACTAAATAAGGTTGCAAAGATAAAGAGATACGAAAATTAAGGTTTGATGCAAGTAATCATGTTTACACCATATTTTCTTTGTTTAGAATTTATTTGAAAAACAGGTAGAAAATTAGTTTCTGTGTTATATGCCGAGAACTCAAGAATATTTGAATTTATCTATTCCTACATTCTCAACCTGCTGCAGAGCTATTTCAATAAATTCAATGTTAAAGTTTGAAATCAAGTTTTTCCTTTATGGACTGCACGCGTAACAGGACCCTCCATTTACTGATTGGCATGTCCGATTCACAATGGTGACATTAACACTTTTTGATCATCCATGGTGGAGAACTTGCGACAGATACATGGATATATATGTGGCGGTTATGAATGTCGTCTTCCCTCCTCTGGAATCCTACGCGGCAGGAGGGAGTTTTAGAACACGAGAGATATTTCACCAGACAAAAAACAACCTTGTATCTTAAGATAAAATATAAGTTAGTTATCCTAAACCCTTAATTACGCGATCGTTAAATGTATGATTATACAGAGTGAGTCAAAAAAAAGTGTGATTAGTGGCGCCTTTTTTGTGCAACTCTCCTGTTGTATGGTATTTTTTGGTACTCCCAATTGCCCAAAAAAATCAACGAACTTTTTTTCTCTCAAAATCAAAAGTTCATAAAAGCAAACAGTGTATAAAACTATTTTATTCGAAATCTAAAATTTTACAAAGATTGAATCACAGAATCACAGAAAATTTGAAAAATTGTAATGAGAAAATTCGCAATATTGTAATAAGAAAATTTGCAATTTTTTCAGTCCTGTTCTAATTTTTAAGGAAAAGTTGTTTTTTCAGGTTTCAACTAAACAGCGTGTATTTTTAACTTTAGAATATACTAAGAAGAAAGGAACAAGACAATTCAATTAACTTTTCCTTAAAAATTAGACCAGAACTGAAAATTGCGAATTTTCTTATTACAATTTTGCCAATTTTCTGTGATCTGTGATCTCTATAAAATTTTAAATTTCGATAGAAATAATTAATACAATTGTAGAATTGTTAAATATGAAAGGAACCACCCTAAAAGGGGGATCAATATTCTAGTAGTCATCAAGTCACGCACCAATAAAAGAACAAAGTAGTTGAACATTTATATTGAAAGTGAAACAAATACTAAACTAAACTAAACTAAACTAAAGGTTTTCCTCTTTTTGGCTGGATACCTCCTTTGGCTAGATACCTCCTTTGGCTAGATACCTCCTTTGGCTAGATACCTCCTTTGGCTAGATACCTCCTTTGGCTAGATACCTCCTTTAAGTATCCCCTCCAGTAACATATCCCCTCCAGTAATATATCCCCTCCAGTAACATATCTCCTCCGGCAATATATCTCTCCCTGCAACATATCTCCTGCAGCAACATGTTGTTTTCCCACAGCTCCGATCCAACCAAGCAGTTTCCATTCCTGTGGACTGACTGCTTCTTAGGTTGTCCATCCTTCCACTGTGGGGAGTTGGCAAAAGTCTTCATCCTCTCCTTGTGAGAGCTGGTGCACAACTAAACTTATTCTTTGTTAGGTCTCCTTTTATATCCTGTGATCCTGTCTTATCAACACATCCTTATCGTGTTTGGCAAGCTAGAGTATCTAGATAAGGCGGAGGAGGGGGGTCTACCCAACCTCTTAGGATGAGGTAGGGGGTGGAGGTTACACAATAATTAATGCTTTTCTGAACTTTTGATTTTGAGAGAAAAAAAGGTTCGAGGATATTTGCATTGGAGTAACAAAAAATAAAAATTTTCAAAAAATATTGAAAAAAACACCAAACTATTATGAAAAAGGCTTGACAACGTTTCGTTAATGCAACAAAGGTTTTTAAAAGTTAACGGAAGAGTCCGTTAACGAGCGGCCAAAAACCGTTAATTTTTAAATGTTAACTAACTGAAAGGGCATTCTTGAAAAAAATTGCACTTGAAAAAAAACTAATGATTTGTTTTGAAGTAACGACGACTTTCGTTTTTTTCTATGATCTGTTTTAAACTCTGAATTTTATACCAAATCTTATATTTATAAGTTTTGGTATAATTTTGCCACAGTTTTATATCAATTTCTCGAGACAGGAACTTCAGTATAGAATAGGCTTCGACCAATTCCGGAAGTTCTTAGGTTTCAGACTGTACCCTAGTTCATTGTTCCTTTACAGTCCCTTTAATCAACGGTAACTGTTAAAAATAACAGGGAATATCGTTAACAAAACAAATGTTCCGTTCTTAGCTAAATAACTAACGGCTACCTAAATTTCTTTTTAACGGTATTAACATATCTAACCGTAAACTATCGGCTTGAAAAAAGCCTGACTGTTCCCAGCCCTAACATTCTCACTCTGTAAATGGAGGCTCACTTGATATAATGTTAATTCCACAAAAAAAAAAAATCCACATGAAAAAAATGTATTCTGCATAAAAAAATCAATTCAGCTCATAATAAATAATTTCACATAAAAAATGTATTTTACATAAAAAAAAATCAATTCCACATAAAAAATAATTTCACATAAAAAATTATTCCACAACAAAAATAAAACTGCAATTTTTACGATCCAACAATGTAATAATATCGATTATAATTGCCTAAACATAAAATTTAATAACATGTAATCTAATGAAATAATTTTAAACTTAATCTAACGGAAATATAAATATTTAGATGTAAAAAATATATTGCATTGAAAGTCTCATAAATATTGAAAAGAATTAAACAAAGTTAAAGAATTCTTGTATTTTTCTTACAGCTTCACGTGATGTTATATAATCATTAATATTTATAATTAATAATACAATGATATAGTTCACAGAATATATTTATTATATGTTGTCCCCCACCCCCTGCTTTATCCTGAATCATAATTATGATTATAATGCAATTTTGAAAAGGCCGAATAAAAGAAAAGTTTTATTTTGTTCGTTAAGAAAAGAAAGTAAAAAAGTATTTTTTTTAAATGAAAATAACATTTTCGGGACAAACAGTTTTTTTATTGCAATCATTCATTTTTCTTGTTTTTCATGTGGATATAGATATTAACCCCCTATATTATTAATAAACTATACATTTCTTATCTCAAAATAAGCTTCAAGTCTGCATGATCTGGAAATTAATCTGGGCAAAATGAAAAATTGTAATGCATTAAACCTCAAAATATATCTTTAAAATCATTTTTACTTTTCACCTCTTTATTTCTCTTCAAATTGATAATATATTCCTTTCTCCCTCCCAGGGCACTTTTGCCATCTAAGTCTACACAAAAAATTAAATTTTAAGGTAAATGTTGTAAAAAAAAAATCTAAAAAAACCAAGAACCAAACAATACAGTTCAGATTCACAACTGTAACCTTTCAACCTTTGACAGCTCTGTTTCTCTTCTGTTTCTGTTTCTGTTTCTATTTCTTTTCTGTTTCTGTTTATTCTTCTTTTTCTTTTCATCAATTTCTTCTTCTTTTTCTTTTCATTTATTTATTCTTCTTTTTCTTTTCATTAATTTATTCTTCTTTTTCTTTTCATTAATTTATTCTTCTTTTTCTTTTTATTAATTTATTCTTCTTTTTCTTTTCATTAATTTATTCTTCTTTTTCTTTTCATTAATTTATTCTTCTTTTCCTTTTCATTAATTTATTCTTCTTTTCCTTTTCATTAATTTATTCTTCTTTTTCTTTTCATTAATTTATTCTTCTTTTTCTTTTTATTAATTTATTCTTATTTTTTGTTTTGTTGTTTTATGCTTTTTTTTTCTTTTCATTAATTTATTCTTCTTTTTCTTTTCATTAATTTATTTTTATTTTTATTTTCGTTAATTTATTCTTCTTTTTTTTCATCAATTATTCTTCTTTTTTCTTTTCATTAATTTATTCTTCTTTTTCTCTTCATTAATCTATTTTTATTTTTATTTTCATTAATCTATTCTTCTTTTTCTTTTCATTAATTCATTCTTCTTTTTCTTCTCATCAATTATTCTTCTTTTTCTTTTCATTAATTTATTCTTCTTTTTTTTCATTAATTTATTCTTTTTCTTTTCATTAATTTATTCTTCTTTTTCTTTTCATTAATTTATTTTTCTTTTTCTTTTTTAATTTATTTTTCTTTTTCTTTTCATCAATTTATTCTTCTTTTTCTTCTCGTTCTTTTAAAATCATTTTTCTTGAAAAAATCAAACTGGTCTGGTTTATGAGCCCTTGTTAAAAAGCGCCCTGATCTCTCTTTCCTTCTAAATGATAAATCTTTGAAGATGATTTTTCGGACTACTAAACCTCGAATAATTGTTTGTATAGTTGAACCGGGGGGTGGGTGAACAGAACACGGTTCAGAGGTTTCTCCGTGGTCTCGAGGTTATACACTAGTTTCTTCACAGAGAAATATATACCATGAAATCTCAGTTTAGTGTCAACAATACCCACGGTATATTCATAAACTCAATTATACTCATTTCAAAAATGCATCCTCAAATAATCGTCTCAATTTTAGGAAACCGTTAATTCTTTGATTTTCCGGCCTTATATCGGTTTAAATATACGATCTCATCCAATTCTCATCAAATTCTCATCCAATTCTCATCTAATTCTCATACAATTCTCATCAAATTCTCATCGATATGTTCATTCACCAAACCCTTTTCGATAAAACACTTGAATAACAGTATTTTTTATCATGCATCCTTGTTTTCTAATGTATCATGTATCCTTGTATTCTAATGTATCATGTATCCTTGTATTCTAATGTATCATGTATCCTTGTATTCTAATGTATCATGCTGTATCCTTGTATTCTAATGTATCATGTATCCTTGTATTCTAATGTTTCCTGTATCCTTGTATTCTAATGTATCATGTATTCTTGTATTTTAATGTATCATATATCCTTGTATTCTGATGTATCATGTATCCTTGTATTCTTATGTATCATGTATCCTTGTATTTTAATTTATCATATATCCTTGTATTCGAATGCATCATGTATCCGTGTATACTAATGTATCATGTATCCGTGTATTCTAATGTATCATGCATCCTTGCATTCTAATGTATCATGTATCCTTGTATTCTAATGTATCATGTATCCTTGTATTCTAATGTATCAAGCATCCTTGTATAATAATGTATCATGTATCCTTGTATTCTAATGTAGCATGTATCCTTGTATTCTAATGTATCATGTATCCTTGTATTTCAATGTATCATGTATCCTTGTATTCTAATGTATCATG